AGTTCAAAGTTCAGTTCACACATTTTAAAATGAACTAGTTCAGTTCATATATATATATATATATATATATATATATATATATATATATATATATATATATATGTATGTGTTTATATACATACAGTATGTATGTGTTTATATATATACAGGTACAGGGAAGTTGTTTAGAGATCATAGGGAGGCGAATGGAGACAAAAACACAGGATAAGCATGTTAGAGATTCACCTTCCAGCAGGACAACAACCTAAAATAATAATTATAGCCTTTACAGTACTGTTAAGAATAGAGTATATGAATCAAAGTTCAGACTTCAATTTGAAGGAGAATCCATTGAAAAGGTAAGTATTGTCAGGGGCAGAGCTAGAGAGAGGAGAGGGGGCACTGGACCCCAACCTAAAATCTGATTGGCCCCCCAGGTGCCATTCCGTCCCTCCCCCCCCACGCCTACACACACACCAGGTAAAAGTATGGTAAGTTAGATAAAATACTTCACTTAATTTGAAGTAAAGTTATCAGTGAAAAATGTTACTCAAATAGTCATAAAAAATAAACAAAAAATTGTATTGTAAAATAAAGGAAAGGAAAGAAGGAGATAATATGCCCCAAACTGGTAATCAATGATTAACAGTTTCAGTAAATAAGAGGAGAAATTAAAATCCCCAAAAAAACATTTAACTAATTTTGCCCTTGAAGATTCACAGTCATCCAGGTCATAGTCATTCCAAAAAAAGTTTGAATAAGTTTTGCTTACCATCCAGGAAGCTTTTTCAATTCAAAATGTCAGAAATAGTGTTGAGTTTGAGGCTTTATAGAAAGGACCAAAAACAAATCCTTGTTTTTGCTTAGAAAACATGCAAATTGAACCGGACAAACGGGTCTGCCCCTTTGGAATGGGTGTTGTTTTGGTTTATCTGTTAGCCTGCAATACCTCTCCACAGACGCATGGCCCGACACAGAAGAGCTACCTCCTCGGGACAAGACTCTACAGTACATCTACAAACTATGGACAAAGGACATTCTTTTGAGGACCAAAATGTTTTCAAATTTTGGATAAAGAAGATAGATGGTTAGAGAGGGGTGTGAATCTATGTTAAGGTAGAAAAAAACAACCTTAATCAGAGGGGGTGGATTCAGGTTTCAGCTTTCAAAAACCTACAATGCAGCAATTGAGTTAATCCCTTCCGGCTATCATTGCAGCCCCTTACAGGGGAGCAGAACACCTTTCCTGTTTAGCCAGGCCAACAATTCCCTCTAATGACTCCCCGCTTTCAGATACATAGACAGGTATCCGGTATTGCAGGCTAACAAAGACCCCAAACGACCCGCATTCCTAAGGGGGGGACCTGTTCATCCGGTTGAATTTGCATGTTTTCTAAGCCAAAACAAGGCTTAGTTTTTGGTCCTCTCTGTAAACCCATCTAATCTGTTCAGGCTATTTTTAAAGAAGGGTGGGAACAATTTTAAACATCTAGATTTTACAGACAAAGACCTGCACATCCAACTGCTGCAAAAGGTGATCCTTCAAAGACTAACTTGGAAGTGCTACATACAACAGGATAACACAGATTTTAGATTTTGTTACCAAAACACCCTCCAAAAACAACCATTGTTTCCCTTCCAGATCTCAATTCTTCACTACAATACTTTGTGTTGGTTGATCATAATAAATCCTAATAAATGCATTGACTGTTGTGGCAATATGATTTCATGTGCATAAGTTAAAGGACCTAAGAGTCTATTTATTCTAAGAAATAAGTAATATGCACAGAAAGAGTATACCGATGTAAATTAATCCATGGAGATGAAAAGATAATTTCTCATTACTGCCTCAGAGCAGATCTCTGTATGAATGAATCAACGTGTAATTAACTTAACGGTTTGTGTCACTCGAGATAAAATGGTAGCTGAAGAAACCATTAATGACCAGCCTGATGTGTGGCTGTTTATGTGTTTGACAACTTGAGATTGTGTCTGTCTTTCTCCCCAATTAGCCACAGAAATAGGATCCTGAGGGCCTCAGTCCTGGCTGCACACAAACACTGGGTCATTTCATCGACTTTTGCTCCTCTGCAGAAAACACCCCCTCATTAACACACACAGTGTACCTTATTGCCACCCTGCAGACCATTCACTTCCTAATCTCATCTGCAGCCTTCCCTGTCACATTATCAGCCTCAGGAAATGATAAGCAGACTTTCTGCTGTCACGATTAAAACCAAGCTTTTCCTGCTCTTCACACGTCTCAACCAGAGGTTGAGTTTAAACACCCCTTTGCTCTTTCTGTCATGTAAAGGAAGGTCAAAATCCACTTCTGTCTATCCTCAGAGTAGTTTCTTCTCCACAGATATCCAAATAGGCTGATAATTTAAACATGCCAGAAGCAAACTGAAGTTTTGAATGTTTGTTGTCTTCACAGCACATCCTAATAGTCCAAAGGCAGCTGTCGGTGCTGGAGGAGGAGCTGGAGGAGTTTCGACTGGCCCTTAGGCAGTACATTGATTGTGCCTCCGTCCAGACAGGATGCTTACAGTCAGTTTGCTTTACTATCCTTTCTCCTTTGAGGAATTTGGTTTAGGTGTTATTATATATGTAGCTACTCTGCTGTGAAAAAGTGATCATTTTGTAACATTTATTACAACAAAACAATGTGTTTTAGTGGGATTTTATGTGTATGCCAGCATAACATTGTGATCTTTTCTGGACTGGGGGAAAAATGCAGGAAAAAAAGTGAGGTTTTCTCTCTGGTCAGACTGGATGGAATGTGTCTACAACTTTCAATTCTTGCAATATTTATATTTGGGTCCAACATGCTGGTAAGGCTCAATGCATGCAGGTCTAAAACATGCATCCATGCATCACAGAATGGATGCATGTTTTAGACCTGCATGCATTGAGCCTTA